CAAGTTTGTCGACGGTTTGTTGTTAGTAGTAAGCTCGGATGATTGACTTTCATTTATTTTACTGTTCGATACATGCAAGTATCGATGCAAGCCTATATAGCTTAATATCGACCATCGGGATTAGATCAGCAACCACTGCCAACCGCAACTTTTGTTCAATTACTGGGATGTGTTATAAGAGGTATTTCGAGATAATAATTTTCGGGAAAGGATAACTCGAAAGGATATCTAATAGTTTTATCTCTAATTATCCATTTTATTGAATGAGGGTATAGTAAGCGCGAGCAGTATGAACAAGAAATTGGGCGAAGTCATTATTAGTGAGATGGGATAAAAATTTTGCGTAATGCGGCAGAAGGACATCAATATGAATGACTATTGACTTCCATGGGATCATTGCTGGTACCGTTGCAAGATTCGCGCAACGTGTTATGGAGTAGGAATATTATTGTGTGCATCGATATGCGAAAGCCATGAATTCGTATTTGCATCGAGAACTAATCAAGTTGTGTTATTTGATTTTTTTTAGCGAATATATGAGTTATTTTTCTTTTCTTTTTTTATGTTTTGAAATTTGCCGTAATATGGGTTTGATCGTCTATTTTTGGGGGAAATAGAATAATGATGTAATGTATGTCTAGTTATTATTTATTTATCCATGAAATAAGAATAAAAAGCGCCTACAAACAAACATAATAATAAACGCTAAATTAATCATAATGCTAAAACTTGTACCAATAATTCCACCGTATGATTAGATGATTAGTCCACACACATTGACAGAAGCGACTACATTTACTATCGATATCCAATAATTTCAAGCAAATAATCGTATGATAGATCTACACTTGACAAAAAACTAAGCAAGAACACGATCACTTATAATTAGTACAATATAACTCTAAACAACCGTTTTTAATGACAACATAGTATACAGACATAATTGACATTGCTTAATAAATATCTTTTATCTAATTAATATATAATTCCAACTTGACATACAGCATGTCAATTCCAAATTGATATCAATGCGATTTATGGTGTAACTAAACGATTTGTGTTATATCACATGATATTAAATTGTCGTATTTTATTGGGCGGTTTTTCCGTTACACTGCATTTAAGAAATTGAAACAAATTGAGTATAGAGTTGGTGCACCATAGAATGATAAGCGGATTATTTTGTTGTTGCCAGTCACAAGGATAGATGATACCAACGACTGTTAGGAGAGGACAAATCGGCAGCGTGTTGCAGAAATGCGCCAAATGCCTAAATAGAGTGGAAATGTCCTTGTTTTTAGAATAACTCGTTTGACCGACGAGCGATCGATATTCCACAAAAGGATTTGCACCAGTAGAGCGACTAAAACTGGTATGTAAGTAGATAGGAGAAAGATATTTTCTTTTGGAGTATGATGCGTGGATACATTAAGGTATTGGGCAAGCGTAAGGCGTGTTTTCAATTTAAAATGCTCCGCAACACCTGATGCAATTTCTTTTTGATCGACCCTCCGATAAATGGGTGTTTGTTGGTTAATGCAGAAATTATTTTAGGAAATGAACGAATAAATACCAAGAATATGTCATAAACACGGTATGTTCATGCAGCAAATGATGGAAACGTACTTTATGCTTAAACTAAATAAATAATAAATAGCATTCGTCACCAAATTGATATAATAAAATTTTAGTGCAAAAAACCTAAGGTTCCCTTGCATAAAATAATTGTACTTGCCCAACATACGTTAACTATATGAAAAAACCTAATATATCGTATCGTATTTGCTTAAAGTGACAATAAAAATATTAGAAGAGGCGTAATAGTAAGACATAGTGTACAGTAGTCTATCAAAGTTCCAAATCTTTGGTGATAGAGAGTAAGCTGATATCATTCAGGGTTACTGTATTAATAAAATAAAAATTAATGTTAGAAAAACAACAATTGTCTTATTGTAATATAATCATAAACAGCATACCTCCAACTAAGTCATCATAATCATTTCTCACTTCAGATAAATCTTCTTCAGCCATAGATATGTTCTTACTAAAGTATATACTCTCCTTACTGTGACATGATAAAGAGTTTACATAAATGGCATTCCATACACTTTTGACGGAATTATCCATATCTGCTTCTTTGATAAGGTTACGAATAAGAGAACCAAGATTCCATGGACGCGTGTCAGGATCAGCATCACAACATTGTTGAGCCAATTTCTTATATGCCTCTGGTGCTGAATCAGGCATTGCGGGTCGCAGTCCACCACACCTGATATCAAGTATTAAACACACATCTGGCTCCCTATCACTGAAGGGTGATTCACCGCTGGCAACCAAATACATAATCATACCAAAGGCATATATGTCAGACTTCTGAGTAAATTTGCGTGTACTAAAGACTTCTGGTGCAATAAAAGGTATGACACCTCTGACAGTTGAATTTGGTTCAGATACTACTGACTGAGAAAGACCGAGATCACATATATATGGTATGCTTGAATTGACATCATCTGCATTGCAATTAAAAACAATGTTACCACCATGGAGATCACAATGCACCAATCCTTGTGAATGGATATCATATAGACAATATGCAATGTCTCTCAAATGATATAATTTCATCTTCCATGTTAATTTATTAATGTTTTGCTTCAAAAAAGACCTAAGATTGCCAGCATTCGCATATTGCATCACGATCAGGTAATTGTCTATCTCCGGTTGCTGTGTGACTCCATAGATCTTAAGAAAGCTTCTACTATTACACTTAGCATGATTCCTTAACTATTAAATTTAAACAATGATGTTAATTAAATATCACTTTGTGTTAATGGCATCGGACACTGCTTACCTCGGAAATGAATAATTCTGGCATCAAGTCAAAATTATTAAATTGTTTGAGAACAACATATTTGTGTTCCTTGATTGGATATTCGTTTATTTTATGTCTGGCTTTATAGACCGTTCCATAACCACCAGCTCCAATATCTTTGATCTCATAAAAATCGGTATACTGCATAAACTTTATGTCTTCATGAATTCGCAAAAATCTGTCCAGCATGGCATTTATTTCATTGTAAAATACCAAATAATAGTCTTGTGTGCATGGCTGTTGAGCAATGCCCATAATCCAAACATTATCTGGAGTTAATATCTCCGGATAATCCTTAATTAACTATTTCATGTAAATAATACAAATTGTTTAGAACAGGCTCTCCTTATCTCTTCTAAAGTCATTGATGAAATACGTAAGAAATGTAATACCAATATCTTTACTTACTGAATGAAAGTGAATTGATCGATCATTGTGAAACTCAAATATCTTCTTGAGTATCACCTTTATCGCTTTATTTGTTATCAGTTCTGCTCTATGAGTACATCCATGGGGCAATTTTGTCGCCTCCTGGATGCTTGCCAATCGATCATACTCTATCCATTGTATATAAGCATCATCTACGGTACGCACATTGTTCCATGATTTCATTATAAATAAATCCAGCGAATCATCGCCAGTAGTCCAATCTAAAGGTCTGGGTGCTTTACATGCAAAGCAAAATGCATTTATCTTCGTTAATCGTCGTGTGCATGCCAGACATAATCCATCCTCGTAATGTTCTCTTACTAAATAATACACTTGCTCTGCCGAATCATACGTAAATCCGATAGTAATCCAAGTGTTTGCCATAAAAAAATCGGAATAGGCATCACATAACTAACGAGAAATGTATATTATTCAAATCAATAATTTATTAAAACAGTAAAGCATGATTAATTCATCGTTTACCTTGACATCATAATCTACGGCATCCATCTCATCCGATTTCTCAAGCGGAATCAATTTTACACGTTCATAAGTAGGTAGACCATATAACCGAACGTTACGTTTGACACAATCAAATGGAATCCATTCCAAATACGCTTCGTTTGCTGAGTTAGTTTGTATCTGTGACCTCTTAATAAATTCATCAAGTTTCTCGTCGTTGCTAGTCCATCCATCAGACAATTCCTTATGCCCACAAACGCACCACACAGGACTACATCTAAGCATTCCGCATACGGAGCAGAATCCATATAGGGAATAAGAATGATAAAAGCGTTTCTTAGCAACCATGTAATACTTGTCGTCATGCTTGGTAAATCCATATATCAACTTATTGCGAATGTTGAGCCATTCTGCATGTCTTCTGAACTGCGGTGGTGGAGTATCGTCCTTTCGTCTCGGAAGTGAGTACCTTTTGGCAAACTCATTGATAAAGGCTGGTGTACATTTTTCATTGTTCCCGAGTAATAACAGCATTACCTCAGCATCCACTGTTTGCCCATAGTGGATAGTTTGGTCAGCAATATTTTGACTCGATTCTATGCTAATAAGCTCCTTGGAAGAGACCCATTTCAGATTATGATACTGAATCAATTTGTCGATTGCCCGACGTCCTGCCATTTATTCAAAGCTTTTAATGCCTTCTAATGTTCAATATCTTTAATGCTCCTGACATCTGTTTAATGTTCGAGTGCAGCTTTATATACCAAGCTGATAAAGCTAGTTGTTCAGAACCCGAAAACTGTTCAACGTTCTATTGCAGTCTTGTGCCACGTTATTCAGTTCACTGCCGATACTTGCAACCCATATTTTGCACCACATTAATCGATTCAAGCATCTCAAGAACGCTTGGGAAAGCTCTAGTAATGATTGAGCGGGACCTGTGAAGTCAAGCCCGGGCAGGAAAGATTCATATTAAAGTAATAGTAAGCTCGTTAATCCAAACCCTTTATCCGAATTCCTCGTTAAAAACCGAAGAAATATTTACGTGTGCCAGAAAGAATTTATGCAACTGCTGATTAGGTCAACAAATACTGGTTGCCACGTGATGGCGAAATTATAGGGTCTAGGCAAATAATTGTTGTGAGACAATAGTATACTATCTCAAGACCCGGCCTTTTGTTTGCCCAACTTTTAAGAATTTGTTTAATATTCTTGATTATTTGCTATACTACAACACAATATGGACGCACATTCAAAAATAACACGTAAACGAGTCTTCCCATTCGAACGAGATCTGGATCGACTTCCCACAGACAGGGCAAAACGACGTTATGTGTCCGAATACTTGTCTTCAGAGCTGACTGCTTTGTCACTAGGAGAAGACGGTACCTGTACGAATACATGTTTATTCCTTGACAGAGTTTAAGATCGCGAGTGGAGCCATAGAGTTTACGTTAACAGACTAGTAATAGTAGACTTTTGGAATAAGATCAGGTTTCGAATTCTGATTCAGCATTACTAACGTTTTATTTATTGGACGTAGGAGATGTTATGGATATAGATGATTCAAATAAAAAGGACAGTTTATTGTCGAATAAAGGTAGTTCGTCAAAGAAAAAGCATGTCGTGTTGGTCACAGACTTCAACGATGGAAGTGAATCAGATAACGACAAGTCCGACTGTGAGAAAGAGAAAGAGCAGGGTACAATAGAAATACCGAGCGAGCTGAAGGAACTAGCGAAAAGGTGGAGTGAGATTCCTCGTTATGTATTAAATCCAAGAAGGAAAGTACGGAACGACAAAAATAATAGCTACGGTGTAGGTAATTGCTTCCTTTAGTGTAATATTGATAATGTGTTAACTGTTTCTGTTTACAGGTATGGAAACCCAGAAAAAGCACTGATCAAGTATCAGCGTCCTCCATGGCTACCGCCTGATCCACCGACAGAGGTAAATGAAAAGGACTTCCAGCTTCTCGTTTCATTCTCTTTTTTTTTCTCCAGATACTCAACGCTATTATATAATCCAGGAAATCACTATAAAACTTCAATCTAATGATGCTACCAGTTTATCGTCTTCGACCTGTCAGAAAGCAGTGATCGAAATTAACCAAAGTTCGCGGATATTGGATGGTTTATTAGATCTGGATGGAACACACATGGAAATGGACAACGAACAGTCGGAGAGTAAGCGGACGTCTTCTGAGGGATATCTCGGTGATGATGATGATGACTACGATGCTGCTGAGGATATGGTTGAATGAAGAAGTATGGATGTGGAATAGAGAGATGCGAGTGGATTGATACAAATATTGTGGGGTGGCTTAAGTTGAACTAATTTATCTGGGAGAACGTTCATTTTCAGCAGAGAATGACTTGGTCGATATTTATAAGCACTCTTTGTTGATATAGTTATCTTCGTCTATATATATATATTACTGACTAATTTAATGATTTAATGTTCACTAAGAGGAAAAGTAGAATGAGAGCAATTTGGTGACTTGATAAGTTACGATTGATTATTGAAACAATGCCTCTTGTGTATCGATTCGTGTGATCGTTCATACTCCCAAAGAATAAACGGACCACAATTAATATCGTTTTCGCATTGGTAGTTTGCCGGTTATCCTTCAACTTCTGAGGTGCACATTTTTCTGCATAGTGAGCGACAACGCGATATTAATGTTTATGGTGGACAAGTAACCGAATGTCTGCTGCTCAAACAACAGTCGCGCCATAGTAATAAACGAACAAGAAATTATGTTATGCAATTCTCGATTATATCCCGTTCAAAATAGTGATCAAAAACACAAAATGCGGTGTCTGACGACAGAAAATCATAATTATTAAATGTTTGTAAAACTTGTCATAATTTTTCCGTTGTCTAGTAGCATTATTACACAAGTCTTGATATAACGTCACGCCACGTTCCAGCGATATATCGAGATGTGTTATATAAATTCTAGATAACGATTTACTTCATTGGACTATTAAGAAACCATCAAATTTTCTTGACCCCTTATCACGTCTCGAGAGAGAGAGTAAATACTCTAGTAAAGTCTTACCTACAGGAAGTTTGCCTAAGCCGAGAAATAGCTATGATTTGGGTTCAATCACAGGTATAAAGGCAACTACGCCAAGTACATTATTTGCTCATACTAAGCTTATTAACGGTTTATATTAACAAATTAGTGATTCAGAATACGAGGTAAGTAATCCCACGTAACTATGACAATGAGTATTATAATTAATACTCGTTGCAGCTCTATAAATTGTATACGTGTAATTGGCATGTATAAAACCAAAATGTGTGGGTATTAGGAAGAAACGGGTTTTAGCGGTTTTCGCAACATTGTCATGTTCATGTTCGCCGGCGTTAATGATCGCTTTGAATAACGTCAAATGTTCGCAAATAAATAAATTTCAGTTATCAAAATAAAAAATTATTTACTGCAACCAATGATGTAACTAGCGACAAAAATAAATATTGGGTTATTCGCAACTCATATATCATGATATTCAAGAGTCAATCTTTAATGTCAAAATTAACTAAATTTTGTCAACACGCTTTTTTTTCTCAAACTGCCGTTCACAAAACAAGTGTTGATAATCGAAAATAGTTGGTTAAATCATACGCTCTATTTTATTATAATTAGTGAGCTTATTTTAGGGTTTGTTAGAAGAAAAGACTGGGGGCAAGAATTTTCACTTTGTGAAGAGCCAGGTCTAAATTGAAAAACAGAAGAAAAATAAGGTACAAAAAACATTGCAATACATGCATCAGACACTAGGTGGTGGAGTTGTTTCATACTAATACAAAGCTATTCAGGGTTTTCGGAATGAATTTATCTCATCTCAGTTCTTTGTTGTTACTTACTGATGGATCTAACGTGCTAGCAAATTTAACATACTACAGGTTACTATTACCTTAACAACAATAATCTGAGGACTGGAGCGTGTCTTAATTTAGTGAAAATCTATCTCGGCGTGTTCTTTTTGGTAGAGCCTGAGAAACAACTGGCAGACGCACAATTTTTAGGGCATGTAAACATCTTTATACTGTGTTACAGTAATTCTGCCTTATTGTTATGTCTATACGATATCAATAAAAGATATCCAATCAAATGGTAAATATTACTCATTGTGTACTATTCCATTTATCAAATCTATTCCAACGTGCTGGCCACTTCTTCCTTACTGCAAATCAATCCGTGAAGTATTGCATATAGTAATATATAATGCTTGTGCTGAAGAGGCGAAGCCACTTAAACTATTTTTCACTGTAGACACTTTTGCCTTCACAACAAATGCATGGTTTTTGTTCTTCAGAAATTACAATATTATTGACCTTAACTTTATTTGAATCTTCAATATGTTCAACAAGAAAAGATGAGAAAAGCTGTTGACGGGATCGTATTTACTTCAGATTAGCGACTCCTGTATAAGTCTCTTTTAACGCACAGTTACTATTTATGCATTTCTCCGAAGTAAGTACTCTTCAAGCCTGGCAGAGCCAACAATGGAACTACCAACAGGAAGAATCGGTGCAAGAAGAACAGCATCAACAACAACATCACACGTTGCTTAATCCTTATCAACAGATGCAACCGGAGGAATACATAGATGTCTCAGATTGGTTTTTGTTAGATCAGTGTTTGCCGACTAACTCACAAAACGGATTGCAAGCAGGCCCACAGTCTCGACAAGACCAATCATCGCTCAGTCCTTTACAATTACCCACTGATATGTTTACCTCTGGTGGTCTGCCAACGTATTCTATTTCGCAATTGACAAGCGAACAACAAATGCTGACATATATAGGCGATTCGATTCTGTCTGAATATGAGCAATTTGATCTGACAGGTTCGATTCAACAACCGAATGGCGCTCCGTACCCGCAGCAAAACCTGTTTATGCATCAGCAGCAACATCAACAACAGTGGTTGTCGCAGTATCAGTATTCGGGGCAACATGAAGGACAGAAACCAAACGAGGTCATTATGCCGATGCACGAACTGAGCCGACAAAACTCAATTCAAGACATGCTTGGAGTTTTTCCGATCGAGCCATCAGATTATGCCCAATCACAGGTTTGTCTACTTATATTCGGTTTACTGAGAGGTAACCGTGCCAAGCTCATCCTTACTATTATTATGACATTACAGGTCTATCCAACGGAGATTATTCCACGTCTGCCTCCGTCTCAACAACAAAGCAACGTTGATCAATTGGGAAACGGGTACTCACATCAATCTTTTCAGATGGAAACTGATGAGCAACCTTCGCAATCTCAAATAATTACTTATCAACGAGAAAAGCTTAATAAGGAATGGATAGATAAAAATATTCAAGAAGGTTCTATCCGCTGTTATCCAAAAAGCAACATTGATGTGGGTCGTCCTATTGCTGGTGGTAGCTATGGAGTCGTGTGTGAGGCAACGATGAAACACAATAGATTGGCTGTCGCCACAAAAACTTTGTATCGGGATGCCCACGGTTCTGAGGAAAAATTTTACAAAAAGCTTGCCAAAGAGGTTGTTTATTGATTTCTGTCTAATATTAGAGTGTATGCAGCTTTATTATCGCCAATTTGTAACTAATTATTTATACACCCTCAGCTGAAAAACCACAAGAGAGTGAGCGGTCATCCGAACATTATCCGATTATTAGGTGTCTGTAAGTATATCCTTATTATCATTATACATGACGTGACGATGTATTTCTACACATGACATTTATGTATTCTTCAATCTAAAGACGAAGACGACGGTTATCATATGATTTTCGAGCCTGCTAATGGCGGAACTTTGCGCACTCACTTGGCACAACATTTTCGTAGTTTAACATGGGAAGACAAGTATAAGCTCAGTCTCGAAATTACTAACGGTTTAGGACACATGCATAAGCTTAATATCGTCCACAAGGACTTGGTAATATATGATCACGCTTTATTTTGGTGACATTATACTTAAAATATTATAAACTAATAATTATTATGCTCCTAACTCTTATTTACAGTCCTCCTACAATATTCTTATTAAATCTGGTATTGCAAAAATTACTGATTTTGGCCTATCTGGACAGACTATATCCTCATCAATAGCAGCATACAGAGATCCTTTATCATTTAGAGATCAGCCATATAAATGCGGAAAGAAATCTGACATCTTTAGTCTTGGAGTACTGTTCTGGGAAATTTCTAGTGGGCAAATTCCTTGTAAAAAATGCACTCGTTATAGTGTGGTAGAACATAGAAAACAAGGCTATCGAGATTCTCCATTTCCAGGAACACCAGAAGCATATGTTCAGCTATATTCAGCATGTTGGAGTGATAATCTTGATGAACGACCATCATGTGAAGAAATATACAAACAATTAAACCTGTTATTCAATATTAAAGCTCAGCATTTGCCTGGTAGGGTGCTGGATCTTTCTCGGAAACTGAGAAGTGGTGGAGTTACAGCACTGATAGTTGCTTTAAAATCAAACCCTTCTGCTAATTCTTGGATACTTTCTCATAATCAGATTGGAGATGCAGGAGCAACAGCATTGGCAGAGGCTTTAAAATCAAATTCTTCCTTGACTTCTTTGAAGCTTGATCTTAATAAGATTGGAGATGCAGGAGCAACAGCATTGGCAAAGGCTTTAGAATCAAATTCTAATTCTTCCTTAACATGTTTGAACCTTTATTATAATCAAATTGGAGATGCAGGAGCAACAACATTGGCAACAGCTTTAGAATCAAATTCTTCCCTGACTTTTTTGAACCTTTATTATAATCAGATTGGAGATGCAGGAGCAAAAGCATTGGCAAAGGCTTTAGAATCAAATTCATCTCTAACTTCTCTAAATCTCTGGTATAATGAAATTGGAGCTACAGGAGCAACAGCTTTGGCAAAGGCTTTAGAATTAAATTCATCTCTAACTTCTTTAAATCTCCGGTATAATGAAATTGGAGCTACAGGAGCAACAGCTTTGGCAAAGGCTCTAGAATCAAATTCTTCCCTGACTTTTTTGAACCTTTCTGAAAATGAAATTGGAGCTACAGGAGCAACAGCTTTGGCAAAGGCTTTAGAATTAAATTCATCTCTAACTTCTCTAAATCTCCGGTATAATGAAATTGGAGCTACAGGAGCAACAGCTTTAGCAAAGGCTTTAGAATCAAATTCCTCTCTAACTTCTCTGAATCTCCAGCATAATAAAATTGGAGATAAAGGAGCAACAGCTTTGGCAAAGGCTTTAAAATCAAACCCTTCTGTTAATTCTTGGATACCTTTTCATAATAATAATCAGTTTGGATATGCAGAAACAACAGCATTGGCAGAGACTTTAGAATCAAATTCTTCCTTGACTTTTTTGAACCTTGATTATAATCAGATTGGAGATGCAGGAGCAACAGCATTGGCAGAGGCTTTAGAATCAAATTCGTCTCTAACTTCTCTGAATCTCTGGTATAATGAAATTGGAGATGCAGGAGCAACAGTATTGGCAAAGGCTTTAGAATCAAATTCTTCCCTGACTTTTTTGAACCTTTATTATAATCAGATTGGAGATGCAGGAGCAACAGCATTGGCAAAAGTTGAAAAGCATCACTCTAAACTTACAATTTTTTACAGTTAATTAATATTTACCAGTCACTATTTTCAAAATTTCTGAGAGGGTAGTTTTCCTAATTTATTGCTGAAGACATTTATTATTACAGTTGGTTATTTGGGGGAGAGTGACAATGTATTTCATAGGTGTGTTCATCAACCAGGAATGTTACTAAAGAGTAGCTTATGTTTACCACAGTAGCTATTCAATGAAATTGAATTATGCATTGAGTGGCCTATTTAATTATTCAATTTGTGCCCTTCTCTTAATATTAACCCATCTCCCTATATTAATTATAATATTAATATGTAGTAATTCTCTACTCATATGCAAATGGCAGCAATTTAGCACCCTTATAATTGTAGTTGGTCAGTTGGGCGCACAACTTTTGTCTGACAATATTCTTTTCCATAATAATAAAAACTAAACTCTGTTTATCTTTTTCGTATATTCATTTACTATCTACTGTTGATTTCTTAACTGCAAAGTCCGTATATATACACAGTGAAACCGGGTATAACGAACCCCGGATATAACGAATTTGGCTTATAACGAAGCTTTTTTGCTGCACGGCATCATATTTAAATTTCACCCCCAAAGTTGTGCAACAGTCGTCTCGTACTACAAAGGTTTTCATTGTATAAAGGCTATATCGTTATACGCTTCTTGTACGACATTTATTATTATAATGTCTTCTTGCCGTCGTACTGACATCCTCCCACTAGTATAATTAAACGAAGTTCATCGGAAATGAATATTGCTCCAAACGAGACTCATGAAACTGAAATTGAGATTGTTAATTTTATTCAGCAATTGCCGATAAATAATCCAGTAAGCGTAAAAGACTATATAAAGCTATCGACTTGAACAATAGTGTTGATGTTAACACTTTAATGCAGCAAATAGTTGACACTGTCAACCAAGCTGATGGTCAAGAAGACGAAAGCGTTCAATCGGAACGGCTTGTTGCCAGTTCAGAGGCTTTAGTTGGAATTAATAGCGTTTTGGTATATTGCACAGAAAAATCTTAGAGTAGAATTGTCGGTTATTAGATGTTTGACTAATTGAGAAGTACAATATCACGAAGTAGTATAGAATTGGCACGTCAAGCAACGCTTGATGAATTTGAATTTGTAAATATTGAATACTCTTGAATTACGTGTGTAATAAAGATATAACGGAACTTTTTTATATAACAATGCGGATTACTATAATTAGATATATGTACGAAACCTGGATATAACGAATCCCTCGATATAACGAAGAAAAGTGTCTGTATTTAGATTTCATCGATCTAAATCTAGCACTAGCATTAGCACTGTACTCTTTTTTATAAAAAAAATCTTGTGTATCGTTGCTCGAACAAAAAAAGAAGAAATACTCCATTGATTTTTCATATTTGTACACTGATATTCGCTTGCTATTATGTTATGGAAGTTTATTTGCACTCAAACAACTAAGTGTGTGTTTGTGATTGTCCTTGACGTCTGTTGCTATCCATGTCATTTAGCTATTCCATCATATATACTTAGTCAATTATTAATAAATATTGATGTAATAAAGTTGACTTTGTAACAACTTGTAATGTGTAATTTCAGATCCAAAACGCAATTTGACCATAAACTAAAACATAGCAAAATATACTTTTTCACATGGTACAGTATATACAAACGAACAATTTATTTCAGATGTTTAGTTCATTTTTGACTTCCTATTGTGTTTGATCGTTGCTCCTTTTTTGCTTACTGCAGATCTTCATTTGTCACAGTTATGTCAAATTATTCCATTACAAAATTGGGTAATTTTAATTGCCGACCGAAAATATAGCATTTTCCCCTTCCCTCGTCTGTCATAAACTATGATGTATGCTTGTGCTTGTCATGTTCATGCTTGTGGTTCATGATTTAGTGTGCTCAATTGTAGCACAAATGGTATTTATTTTCTTCTAACTAAATATTTATATGCTTATAGTACATAGACGGATATTTGTGTTGTGTCATTTATTAATATAATAAATACAGTCAAACCACGTTATACCAATATTTTCGTTCCGCCAAAAATTTATCGATAAATTGGGGTTTTTTCTTTTCTACCGATAATATATGAGTGATACGCAAAACATCGCGTATCAGGGGTGTTGGACGAAGGTGTCAAGCTTTGTATATACTAATACACGTAGTGCAAATAAAACTATCAATAAATGCTTGCTTTTTTTTTTTTTTTTTTTTTTTTTTTTTTTTTTTTTTTTTTTTTTTTTTATTTTTGTGAAAAAAAAACTATTTTAATTTTGCAATTTTAAAAATTTATTTTATTCTTTT